ACCCGGGATGGGGGTGGGGCAGGGGGATTGGGAAGCTTTGGTGGCTTGAAGAGGCATTGGGCTGGGAGTCAGAAAACCTGGGTGAGGGCCAGTCCCAGTGAACTCTGTGTGTGACTGTGGGCAGTTCCCTCTTCCCCTCTTTGGGCCTCAGTTTTCCCATCCATCCAACAAGGGGGCTGGACTAGAAGGTCTCAAAACGCCCTAACAGCTTGAAAGATTCCATTCTCTTCTCTGAATCTGCCCAGGGGGAGGCCTTGGGGGCTGGGGCACCGGCAGGGGCTGAGAATTCCATAGCAATTTGCATGTGAAAGCATGTTACTGCCATGGCTATTAGTGTGTGCAGGGGGCTGAAGACAGGGCAAGGACAGCTAATAGGCTGGCCAGCAAGGCCTGGCTGCCTGGGGGGGGAGGGGGAGGGAGGGCAGCCCTGGAGGTGTGCATGGGACATTGGACTGCCACACTCGGCTCCTGGGGCAGGGCGAGCCTCAGGACCGCTAAGGCCCTGCTCAGCCTTGAGATGCCCGATTCTGGGTCTGGGCCTCGGCCTCCAGCAGCGGGTCTGGCCCCTACAGAAGCCTCGAAGCTATTGTGCCCATGAGTGACTTCAGAACTGTGTGAGATGCCACCGGAGAGGGGACCCCAGGGAGGCGGGCCAACTGTTAGTGACTGTTAAGGTCTGCTCCAACCAGGCCTAAACGAACGTCCCAGGACCGTGTTTTCCTCAGGGTTATAGTGTGTCATTTTGGTAATTGCCTTGTGTAAACTTACAGTTTGTCAATATAAATACTGTGTATATCCAGGTTTGTTTGGTTCACTCACACACACAAACTCCTGGGGATTCTGGGAGAACAAAGCAACAGTGTGTGAAACAGCTGTGGCCTGTGAGGCAAGGTAGCTAAGTCCTGAGGCCTGGCTCGGCCAGCACTCCCAGTCTGGCCTTGGGCAAGTCCCTTCCGCTGTCTGTGCCTCAGTTTCCCCATGAGGAGTTTGCTCTGGAAAGGAGCTCTCAGGAAAGTCCTAACTCTACCATTCCCTGGCCTCTAAACTCTCAGGTTCCACTGAACAGGCATGGGGGTAGCCAGAGGGGCCACCAGCCAATCCCAAGACAGCAACGGCTCTGCCCAGTAGAACCCAGCCAGCATGGAGTCCATGCTGCAGGGCAGACTCCAGGATCTCCCTGGCTTCTCCCGGGACTCTGGAACCAAGGGAGCCTCCTGGAGCCTCTTCCTAGGGCCCTGGCCAGAGAAAGGTGGAAGCTCGCTCCTCACCCGCTGCCTCCAGGGAGGCTGGGAGAGACCAGCCCATGGGCCCTCATTGGTAGGCAAGGCCTGAGGACACACAGCTCTTTGGCTCTAGCTTTGGGAAGTATTTATCCTGGGTAAATTTGCCCACCCCAGCCCATGTACCTGGGTGGGAGCCTAGGGGCTGGGGAGGCGGGCTGCAGTTGGGGATTCAGGATAACTTCTGATGCAGAGGTTTCAGAATTTTGCAAAAGGCTAGCTTTGGTCACTGATGAGGGGACAGCCATGCCTTGGGGACCACTCTGAAACCAAGAAGGGTGCCCTCTCCAAAGAAATGGCAGCTACCATTTATTGGAGCTTACTACATGCTAGGCGGTCGGCATTTGTTTAAAAAGAGGATGGATGAATGAATGAAAGGCTAACTTTAGAACCACAGCTTTCGACCTGTGTGTCCTTCGTTCTGCCCCTCACATTCCCAAGACCTATCAACACACGTAAAGGCCTTTGTAGAACGTGAGGTCCCTGGGAACAGGACCCTGTCTGTCCTGTCCGTCACTGTACCCCAGTGCCCAGATCACTGACAGGCATATACTTGGTAGTTAGTAAATCTTTTCTGAATAAATGAAGACATCTGGTCTCACTCCTCGTTACCCAGACAGGGAAACTGAGACCCAAAGAGGCAGGGACCTGCCTGTTCCTGGTCAAAAAGAGTCGTGTTAGAGCCAGGACGGGACCGCAGCCTCCAGCCTCGCCACAGCGCAGCTGGGGGCTCTTTCTCCTGTATCAAAGGGCCCCATGGCTAATTCTCCTGCCCTCCATATCCCTTCACACATTCCTTATTTCCCCCACCCCCAGCTTTCCCTCTTTCCTTTCCCTTTGCCAGCTGGATAATTAACCATTGGAAACAGAACCTATAATTACTGTCTCCCCCATGCCCTTAAATTGCTTTCAGTTTGGGCTCTGTGACCCCTGTCTTGGGTGGGGGCTGGTCTCCCCCTCAGCAGCCTCCCAAAGGGGGAGCCAACCTAACAAGCACCAGCTGGGGCCCCAGCCCCCCAGATCCAATGGCCAGCTGTACGGGAGGCCAGCAGCAGATGGGCCAGGAGGGTCCCCAGGCAGGCTGGGGCTGACTCAGCTGGGGTGTCAGTGGGGCTGTGACGTGCCCGGGCAGGACAGGAGGCCAGGCAGGCAGGCAGGCCGGATTTCCGAGAGTGATTGATGCCAGGTGGCCAAAGGGCCGCTTGTTCAGCAGGGCCCAATCTAGGATGGTCCCAATCGGGCCTGGGTCTCTCCTTGGGTTCTTTGGCCCACCCTCATGCCACCGCCTGGAAGATGCCAGGCCATCCACATCCCTGGCGCTTCCGGGAGAAGGCCTCCTGGGAGCTTAAATGGGCCAATGTCATAAGTCACAACAGTCTTGGCCTTCCAGCTCCACAAGGCCTATCCCTTCAGGAAAACTGAGGCCCGGTTAGCACCTGTCCAGCTTGGCTTCACTGAGGACCTGGGTTCAGCCTGTGGAGGAAGCCAGGCAGCCCCACCCTCACCTGGGAAGCATCCTCTGTCCCTGACTCACCAGGGCTTGGGCTCAGCTGGGACAGGAAGGAGAGCCGAGGGTGGGGCCGGTCTGGGGCCCTACCACAGGAGGCTCACACCTCCTGCCTCCAGCTAGCTAAGCTGGGTCCCTCCCTGAGCCACCCAGATGGGAAGGGAATGGCGGCCGGGGGGCTCCTGTTCTTCAAGATGCCCGAGGAAGCACGCTTGGTCAGTCTCACCCAACACAGGGCAGCGAGCAGGGGGTTGGGCCAAAGGAGAATCGCCCTCAAGGAACTTCTGAGCTTGGACTTGAATGCTGGTGCTCCCATTCACTTGCTGTATGTTCTTGGGCAACTTACTGTCCCTTGTGGGGGTCTCAGTTTCCTCATCTCAAATATGAGGCAAATCGTTGCCCACCTTCCACCGTCACAGGGCAGTTTGAGAAACTCAATCAGATAATGTGCGTAAAATGATTTCTAAAAAGGGCAGGGGCTGTCCAGGTGAAAGTCATTATGCCACAAGGGGTGACTGAGCACCACTGTGTGGCCAGCACAGTGCAGGCACTGGGCACTAACCAGCACCAGCCATGGCACCCAGGCCAGGGCCAGTGGAAACAGCCAGTCTCCAACCTGGGCTTTTGGAGAGAGTGCCACACATGACTCCACAATCCCACAGCTACTCCTCAGGGGCCCCCAGAAACTCCATTCCCCACCCACCAGGAGGGTGAGGGCTGCTGGTACCCTGGGCTGGGCTGGAGACCACCCAAGGACACTTCGATGGAGAAGCGTGGGAAGGGCTCACCCAAGCTGGGTCAGGCCCCACGTTGTTGGTTAGAGACATCAGTGTGGCCTGATGCAGCCTTGGTTGGAGACCCCCGGCCCAGGCCGGGCCCCACTCTGGGCAGGCAGTCAAGCAGCACAGGCCCCATCTGATCCAGGCACTTCCTTTGGTTAATGAGAAACCAAATAAACAGCCTCTGCCCCGGCTGGCTCCCGGAGCACCCCAGCCGAGCCCAACCCTGCTCCAGCCCAGCCTCCCCCCTCCCCTGCCCTGCAGGTCCCTGGCTCTCCAAGCGCTTCCACTTCGCTCACGGCCCAGCCGGCTCCTTGGCTGGCTCGCTGGGGCTTCCTGCTCTGCATCACTAACCCTCCCCTTCCTTCCTCCTCCTCCTTTCCTCTAGTGCCTTCTCACCCATTTTTAGCTGCTGGGATCTCACTTGTCCTCCTCTCCTGACATCTGTCTTAGCCATCTCCACAGGGAGCCCCCCACAAGAACTGCAGGCTGCTCCAGCCTGGGGGACTGAAGCCAAACCCTCTTCGCGGCCCTCATCACACTCTCAGCGCACCAGTCTGTGGGAGGGAGACCCGGTGCTCGGGGCTGCTCTAGCTCGGGGACTTCAGCTGCCAGCCAGAAGCCCCCAAGTATGCCATGGTGAGGTCTCTGAAGACAGGAGATGGAAGATCTTCCTGGCTAAGAAGTGAACTGGGCAGCCTGCAGCAGCCCCGGGACCCAGTGGGCTGCAGCTGACAGCCAGCTCTTCGGAACTTATTTCTATCCACCTCCAGGCGTCCCGAAGCAGGGCAGGGCTGGGCCTGCCAGCAAGTCCCAGAGTCTAGCCCCAGCCAGGTGGTGGCAGTACTGTGGACACACCCAGGTCCCCATGGGAACCTCCCTCCCGCCCCCGCCCCCCCCCAATGGTTCACCCTGTCTAGTTGAGCTTAGTGCCAGGCGGGGCAGATGCCCATGGCCTATACCACAGAGGTGTCAGCACGGAGAGGGGGAAATGGTTGCGGGGCTCCAGTAGAACAAGAGGACAGAGAGACTTGGCAGGAGAGCAGTAGGGGCACAGGGCACTTGATACACCTTGCTGCATTGGGACTGCCACCCTCTTCCCATCCCCAGCTCACCATGTTTGGGGCACGGGAAGTCAATCTCTCAATCTCTCTGTCTCTCTCTCTCTGTCTCTCTGTCTCTCTCTCTCTGTCTCTCTCTCTCGCTCTCTCTCACACACACACACACACACACACAAACACACTCACTCACATACTCACTCATACACTCATACTTAACTCGCCAACATCACGACACCATTTTACACCCATTTCTCCTTGAGGTTAATTTTTTTTTTTTTTAGTTCTCATTTTTTCTAAGAAAAAAGCAACAAGAAAATAAATCAGAGTTTATACAAAACATCTTTACATTATTTTTTTCCAAAAAAGACTAGTATTTACACAAATGGCAACAGAAACAAAAACAAAAAACTCTTCCGACTGCCACCTGGAAGGGGCTGGGGCAGGCAGCTGGCCAGGCGGCAGTGTGGAGGTGGATGGTGGAAGGCCCGGCTCCTTCCATGGCCACTGTGGGAGCGCCTGCACGGCACACTCAAGTGGCAGTCTGTTAGCAGCCGTGCTGGCAAGGAGCCGGGGTCAAAGTGCACGGCCTCTTCCAGGCCCCAGCCCAAGACTGGGGGGAGGGGAGCAGTGAGAACTGGGGTGTGGGGCACCCACCTGTGCTAGAGCCCAAAAGAGGAGCAGGCCACCTGGCCTTATACCCGCTTAGGTCTCTGCCCTGGGTCTCTGTCTCCCCACCAGGCCAAAGGGGGCCAAAGGTGAGGCGAGAACAGGGTGGAGGGGGAGGGGGGGAACTCCCAGCCACCTGGGCACCTCACCTCCCTCCACCCCCCATGAGGTCATCTGCCTGCAGCAGCTCTCCTGTTCCCCAGGCAACAGCCAATTAAGACGTTAATTACCGTGAGAGTGAGGGAGGCAGGAGATGCCCAAGAATCCCACAAGGAAGGGAATTTTTTTTTGGTGGAAGGGTGGCAGCCACTGCCCCATTGCCAAGATCAGCTTTGTAGCAGGAGGGTCAGGAGGGGAGGGTGAGACACCTTCCCGCATGGGCAAGAACAGCCCAGGCCTGCCCCACCACCCCCTCCTCCACCAAATACCAAGGAGTTTATAAAAGAAATGCCATCCTATGTTTCCCAGCTGGCCACATCCTGCCACCGGCCCCTGACACTGGGCTCAACAGGGCTCAGAAAACCTGGGGAGGGGCTGCCTTTTCCATTTTTCTTCAAAAAAACAGATGAAAATGAGTGGACAGCTAAAAAATGAACACAAAAACATTAAAAACAGTGATGATAGCGGACGAGCAGTCCTGGGAAGGGGGAAGGGGACATGGGGTCAGGGCCAGGGGGACATCTCCCTGCCTGCTGTCCTTCAGCGTCCAACCCTGCCCTCCAAGAAGGGGCGCCCCCGCAGAGCCCAGAGGCCTGGCCACAGGGGAAAGGCACAAGAGCATGGGGGCCGGGGGCACAAGCACCCCCTACGAAGCCCAGGGGCAGGGCCAAAGGGGGATTATAAAAGCCAAGAAACTACAAAACTAAATACAAAGGTGGGCACAACTGGCAAGGGGAGGGGCGTGGGGAGAAAGGAGAGGTGCGGTCCCGGCCGACTGTCCCTCAGGCCTGAGGCCGCGCCGGGCTCTCAGACCTTGTAGTAGATGTTTGCTGGGCTCTGGGGTGGCATCTCCTGGACGATGTAGACGGGGTGCCCGTAGTCCCCACTCACCTTCTCATAGTGGGGGCAGTAGTTGTTCTCTGTAGTCCGTAAGGGGATGATGATGTCGCTGGGCTCGGTGCCCGCTGTGCCACTGCCCCCCTTGGGACTGGCCAGGGTACTGAGTGAGAGGGCGGGTGCCCGCTGCTGTGTGTGCTTGCGGTGCCGCTTTCGCAGCTTTAGTAGCAGAACCGTCAGGAAGATGATGATAAGCAGGAAGATGACGCAGCCAGCGCCAACAGCCGCGAACAATGCCACCTTGGAGTTGAAGAAGCTGTCAGGGTCCCCGCTGCTGCCTCCGCTCCCACCTGGGCCACTCTTCTCGTCCTGGTTCACAGTCTCTGGGGAAGGGGGAGGGAAGGAAGAGTCAGCCGGGGGTCCCAGGGACACACAGTAGATCTCAGGCTGGGCCCCGTCCTGCCTTTCTTCAGACACAAGGCCCATGCACTCACCATGCTTGCCGTCGGAGTCCCCCAGGGAGCCCCGACCGCCAGGGGCCTGCGTGGCCATCTTGATAGTATTGTCTGCCTCCTTGCTGGGCCGGCTGGTAGTCAGCTGTTCAGGGGTCACAGCATTGGGGTCTGTATGTGGGAGAGGAAAGGTGAGGGGGAGGCACCGCACCAGCATCGGTGCCTCAGTCATCTGGTTTGGGCCAAGAATGGCTTGTGTACCTGATCTCAGATACTCTAACCCTATCGCCCCCTCCCCTGCTCCCAACACACCCACACCCAGCCAGGGACATCTGTTGAAAGGCCTGACTGGGGTGCCCTCAGACTGGCTACTCACCTTGCCCGACCTTCATGACAATCTTCATGGTGCGTGTGCGGCACACACCTCCCTCCCGATTCTCCAGTCCCTCCAGGCTCCCGTTGGACGTAGCTGCAGCAACAGGCCAGAGCAGTCAGAGGGGGAGAAAGGCCTTCCCGCGCTGCCTTCGCCCATCGGGACAGAACTGGGAGGCAGGGGGTGGCAAGCAGCCCCCACCTACTTCTCTCCTTCCCCAGGGAACAGAGTCGCCAGCATGGCCAGGAACTAGCCCCCTCCCCAAGGGTGCCGCTCCTGTGTCATGACCAGGCCCTGGCCCTTCGCTCTGAGTGGACATCAGATGTGTTTTCTCATTGGGTGACGTTGCTCAGAGGCAAAGCAATCAATCAGAACCTACACTGCCTGGAAGGAATCCTCGACTAGGTGGTCAGGAGAACTGGCTTGGAGTCCCAATGTTCTCACCGACTCCCTGGGTGATCTAGGCCAAGAAACCCCTTCCCCTCTTGGGGCCGCAGAGTCCCAGGAAGACAAAGGCCGAACAGCTGGCTGATCCCAAAGGTCTCTGCCAACTCTGCCATCCCCAAGATTAGATCTTAGGTGGACAAATAAAATAAGAGAGGGAGCACCACAAATTGGGGTCCTCTCCCACCCAACTCCCAGAGCCAAGGCAAGCTGGCGGCGGGCCCCTAGGTGAATGTCGGGGCCAGAATTGCAAGGCCAGGCTGGGAGGAGAGCATGCCAGGCTTCAAAAGGGACCAGACCAGGCAGGGCCTTAGCTGTGTGTGGTCTCCTTGCAGTACTGAGAAGGCGCTGCGGCTACAGGATAGGAGACAAGCACGTGATGGGCAGGACTTACAGGTAATGTAGTAATCATGGTGTTTCTTGAACTCCAGGCCCATGTAGTTGGGGCTGAACTCCTGGAACTTGATGGTGAAGCGGATTTCCTGCTCGGGCCTATTGCAGGTGACCAGCACGTTGGGGTCAAGCACGGTGCTGCAGGCAGCTGCCTGCTCAGGCCGCACAAGGTACAGCTTGTAGTACTCGTAGGGCCGCCCTGCCTCCGCTCGGGGACAGATGATGTCCAGCTTGTCTCCAATCTTTGGGTAGATGACCAGGCCCTTCCCACTCAGGAACCTGCCCAGAGGAGAAGCAAGGGTCAGCCTCGGCGCTGGGGTCCCAGGCCATCTCCTGGAGCCAGGGGAGCAGACAGTGAGGGCCGGGCTGGGCCTTCAGAGTGGAGATGGCAAGAACAGGAATTTTGTCCTTCCTGTGTCTTTGAGCTGGGGGTGGGGAGACAGAACCACACTGCCAGCAGGGTGTGGAAGGGGTGGCCCCTGGGCAAGGCTGCCAGGCTTTGACTGCTCAGCAGGGTGGGGCACTGCCTTGCTGGGGGAGCCCTTTGTCCTAATGTGGCATTTCCGCAGGGGGCTGACGTGGCGATGGGCTGGGTACCAAGGTGTCAGGCTGGGCTGCCTGGAGGTGGAAGCCCTGTCCTCCTCCCACCACCATCACACTCACATTCCTTCATAGCCACAGCTACCACCTCCTCGGCACACATGCGCATATGCGCACATGCGCAGACACACACACACACACACACACACACACACAAGCCCACACATGCCTTAGCCATCACCCCCGCAGCTCCCAGCCAATGGCTAGGGGAGCTCAACCTGCCTGAGACCCGGGCCTTCTCCCAGATCCCTGCTAATCTTGGACATGATGAAGAGATGGGGACAAGCAATGCCTAGAGCCCAGGAGTCACGGGCACAGTCTCTGGCCTGGTGTGGCTCCACACATCTCTCTCCACTCTCCACTCCCACTGCCTGGTGTCCTACCGGGATGTATCTCACCCACTCCATGCAAAAGCCTGAATCCCCAAGCTTGAGCAGTCTTACTCCTAAGAAGAGCAAGGCGGGGGAAGGGGCCAAAGCAGAGACAATAGACGATATAACATAGGGCCCCAGGAACCTCCTTCATCTGTGTTCTAATCCCCCCACCTCCACACTGCCTCTGCTCCAGCTCGTGAGAAGAGCTGGACAAACGCCTTCTGAGCCGGGGTTGTCGTCCACGCCAGAAGGCCAGGCACTGAGGAGTAGCAGGTGGAGGGCAGCTGCCCAGGGCCATCTATTCATACCACTCTGTCCTTGCCTTGGCACACAGTAAGAAAGTGCTGCTCTCTTGGCCACGTCTGAGCCTGGAAGGGCTGGAGCTGGGAGCAAGGCAGTACCATGCAGGAGAAAGCAGAAAGACTGTGGAATCAGACAGGGCCCTTACTAGCTCTGTGACCTTGAATGAGCTGCCTGATCTCCCTGAGCTTCCGTTTCCTCCTGTATAAACTGGGGGTGGTAAGGGCCCTCCCTGCCCCTGGGTGTACAGGGGAGACACAGTGGCACATGTAGAATACCTAGCACACAGTAGGCACTCAACGTGTTTGATTCCTGCTTACAAATTGTGTAGTCTGCCAAGAGGCAGGAGGCCAGATACTGACACCAAGTACCTATGAGCCCAGCCTTGGAAATAGGAAGAAAAGATGCAGCCCCAACATCAAGGACTTTACTGTCTGGCGTGTGGGTCAGAACAGTGAATGGTCCACGCTCTAGCAAGAGACAGCACTAGGCTATCCGTAGGTTATGTTACAGGGGCATGTTTCAAACAGCAAGGGCTGGAGGCAGTGAGAGGAAGCAGTTCATGTGTCAAGATGGTCAGAGATGGCTCAACAGAAAGAGTGGGACGCAAGTGGGACCTGGGTGAGGAATAAGAAGACAACACACAGCAAAGGTGGACAGCAGTGGCAGGGGCCCAGATCCCAAGCCAGTGACTGGCCTAGCGATCGGTAGAGGCAGAAGAGGCTGAAAGGCCTCGAGGGTCACAACCTGCACTGTGGGTTTCCTCCCACTGGGGACAGACCTTGTAGCAGGAAGGACAATGAAGGGCTGAAGGCGGTGCTTCAAGAGAACAAAGCCGAGAGTGGAAGCGCGTGGCTCCACTTCCGAAGGGCCTGTCCACAGTGGGAACTACTAGGTACGAGAGCCTCCCAGGAGCCCTCTCTTCATGTCGCGTGAGCCTCCCCAAAGCTAGGGTTTGTCATCCTGCTGTGCAGGAGGCTAACAGCCACCGTGAGTTCCCCTTGGTGCCTAACTTCACCACACCTCAGAGGGCCAGAAAGGAAGCAGGCATAGGATGGAGGCCCACACAAACATCTAAGAGGCAATGCCCCCAACCCATGCACCATAAAAAGCCCGGAAGTTTCACCAAAGCCTCTATAACTCCAAGGCATGTTTCGCCTTCCAATCCTCACACTGGGTCCATCCAGACCACAGGATTAGACAACTTCTAATATCTTAGAGCCAGAAGGAAGCTTCATGACCCACTGCGTCCAGCGTCCTCATGTGAGGGAATGAGTGATCAGACAGACATTTCCATTGAAGAGAAGTGCTTAGAGCCAAGCCGAGGACCCTAAACTCACCCAGGATGTTAACCCCTCGGGGCCTAAGGTGACCTAATTCCTTGTACAGCTGAACCTCAACAAGACCCTCTGTGGAGGGGACAACAGGCACATACACAGAAGGCATGCAAGGGGGTATAGGCCAGCCCAGCTTTCTTACCACCTGGCCCTGGCTTACTCACCAGGGTGTCCTGTCTGCCCCGAGCAAGTCTCGCATCGCCACTCAGGCTCTGGAGCCCTGGAACTATAGAGCACAGGGCTTCCAGCTACTCGGGATTCTACCTGGAACCCAGAGACATGGAGGAAACAGATGTCTACATGGAGGGTGGGGGCGGGGTAAGGAGAGGACTATTGCCCCCACCACCCCTCAGACTCTCCTCAACCTCAGTGAACAGACTCATAAATATTCACCAGTTCATTTGCATAGCAGCTGGCAGAGAGAAACTCACCTTCCCCTAAAGTCAGAAAAGAGAGGAGCCTGCCAAAGCCTGCCTTCCCTGACCCTGACCCCCATAATGGTGCCGTCTCAGTGTCTTCCCCTCCACTGGAAAAACTGCTTCTTGGCCTGTGAGAAGCCCAAAAAAGTGGCAAGGGGCCACGAAGGGCGGGTATATAGCCAGAGTAAGAGTGAGGTCACGAAGCCAGGTACAACACTAGTCATACAGGGGGACACTGCAGGTTTGGCCTGGAACTCCCCAGGTTACGAGGTGGGCAGGAGAGGAGGGGGAAGAGAGTGCCCCCAACTTCAACTCTTGATCCCCCGCTTTTCAAAAACTAATACTGCCCCCATTATCAAGCCGAGCTTTCCTGCCTGGGGCCACCTCCAGACAAAGCTCTTTTCTGGAAACTAAGGGGATTGACATGGCCCAGCAGGAAGCCTGAAGCAGGTCGCCATGGTAACCCTTGAGGCCTTCCCTCCTTAGCCTGGTATAGCCCCAGGACCCCAGGGAGCCACCCCAGGGAGTAAAAGGACCTGGGGGAGGCAGCCTGAGCAGTCCAGCTCCTGCCTTGGGGCCTGCCTTTTCCCTGCACCCTAGCCCCAGTCTCTCCCTCAGTCTTCCTACTGAGCTTAGAAGTCCCACCGTGAGTGTAAAAAGAAACCTGGGATAGGAGAAGCCTGAGGGTGCGGGGCAGTGGCCTCCAAGGCCCTGGACTGGTCAGAGGCCGATTGCCCTCTGCTTCCTCGTCCAGCTGAGCCTCTCTCAGCCCATACACCGACAGTCTCCAGTGGGGAGAGCTTGCAGTGTGGGGGTCTCCAGTGGGGAGAGCTTGCAGTGTGGGGGTCGTGCCCAGAGAGCTGCCCACGTTCGACCAGGTCTATCTATACTTCCTTTCTTCTCACGCTTTCCTCAGGCTCTAGGAACCTGTGGTCAGAGTGGCCGAAGGGAGAGCCTGGTCCCAGGCCATGCTAGTTCCAACTTGGTAGAAGACTCTAGCCACAGCCTTGATCGGACGACCCCAGCACCACTGTGCCTGCACCCCCAGGGTGGCTGGACCAGTGGAGGACAGACCCCAAGCCAGAGCTCAAGTCTGCTCTCATCCCAGCAAGGGTGGGGAGTCCCCAAATTAAAGGTTCCTCTTTCACTCCCCCAGCTCCACCCAGCCCTGGAGGCAGCAGGAGCAGGCCTGGCGTGTCCCAGCAGTGCCCGCCCAGGCGTGGGTGGGCAGGAACAGCAGCTGGGTCCTGGCACACACACAGCACTGGTGGAGGAAGGGAAGTCAGGAGAGTCCCAGAGGAAGTCACCCTTCCCAACTACAGTGGACTATGGCCTCCTGTCGATGCCACCTGGCCAATGCTAGGACCCACGGGGGGCTTAACACTCCAATCCTCATTGTCTGTTTTCTGTGGGGTCCCCAAGAGGGACATCACTGGCCCAGAGAGGAAGCTCCGCAGGGACAGTACCAGGTAGCGAGTTGGCTGCCTCTAGTTCAGGTCACCCGAGCGGGCTGCTCGGAGGCAGGCCCAGCAAAGTCAAGTGAGGAAGTCAGCCCTGCTCGTCCAAGGCAGGCAGGGCCTGAGTCACAAGGACAGATGCAGGCACCCCTGTGAGGTGCGAGGGGAACCCAGGGGCAGGGAGCCAGCGCCTCTTCCCACACCCCACCTTCAATTCCTGTGTCTCCTAGAGTCTGAGGCACAACTCCACCCCCATGGGCTGACTGACTTAAGACAAGTCACTTCCTCATCTGGGAAAGGGGGGTGATTCTAACTTGCCAAGGCTGTTGGGAACGTCCAGTAAGCTCACACATGAGGACGCTTTGTGAGTAGCAAGGTGCTGCCTGGCTGTGGCCACGCCAAGCACAGTACCATTTAGAAGAAAGAAGCCTCCAGTGCTGGCTGCTGGCACCCCCACCCAAAATGACTACCATACCAACACAGCCAGGATGGGCTGCTGTGGGGCACAGGGCAAGGAACCCCAAATGAATTGTGGCTAGTGAGTGTCCCCTGGCCTCGGCTCCCCTAATAAACACAGGGTGGACCCTTTCCCAAACCTGATGTTCCCATGGCAACCAGCGGCCTCCTGGCTGGTCCACCCTTCCCATAGTCCCAACCCCAGTAAACCATGATGCGCAGTAGTACCCAGGGTCATCAGCCACTGAGCTGTGAGGCAGTGGAAAGCCTGAGGGGAGAAAGGGAACCCTTGATTCAGGCCCTTCTTGCCCTGGCCTGGCTGCCTGGGGTGGGGTGAGGAGGGAGGGGAACAGGGAACTCTAGGAGCTGCTGGGTTCCCATCACTCTCAGGCCCCCACCTGTGGCCAATCAGCCACAGAGTAGAGTAGGTCAGGTCCCTGGCCGCCCCGGAAAGGGGCCCCCTGAGCTGGCCTCCCCAGGACTGTGAGCTGGAACAGCTGTGAGGGGGCTGGGGACAACACTTCGGCTTGTGGCAGGCAAGCCTGGGTTGGGGTCTGCAGCTGCCCCCACCCATGCTGGATGGAGTCAAGGGTCCTGGATGCCACGCTGAAGCCCCCACCCGCGCCCCCTTATAGGGAAGGTGTAATGTGATCTCAGGCACACCCCCACCCCCTGGAGGTGGGGGAACCTGAGTGGGGGGCAAGAAGGGGTCAGAACGGGACTGAGAGACTGAACTGCAGCAGCTGGACTTGGTTGAGGGCTCAAGTGTGAGGCCTGCCGGCTGCCCCAAGTTCTCAGGGGAAGAGGCTGGGGGAGGGGGTCGCCTGGGACCTTCCGTCACAGCCCCCGACCCAAGCATGCACGCACTCCAGTTCCTCCCGGCCTCCAGTGGGACCAAACCCAGCTCCCCACCATGCAGTCATCGGACAAAGCTGACAAGAGGGGCCAGGGAGGCAGAAGACCTTGCACCCAGAGACTACCACGCCGGGAGTCCCCAGCACCAATGTGAGAAAGAGGCTGGGAGTCTTGGGCTGGCCCTCCCAGCGCTCTGCTCCCGGTCAGGGCTGGGGTGTGCCCCGGAACCTGGAAACGTACCCCCAGCCCCGGCACTTCTTTATTTTGATTTTTTCCCAAGGAGGAAGCAATTAAGCAGGGTTTATAAGCGCTGGGAGATTGGGGAGGGGGGCTGCCAGTTCCTGACAGGGCTGAGGAGAGAGACCAAAAGCCGGGAGGAAGAGGGGAGGGAAGAGAGAAAAGGAGCCTGTGAGGGAGAGCACGGGCATGTGCGAGAGACAAAAGGACTTGAGCAAAAGAGGCAGAGAGTGACTGCGAGTGAGAGGGAGTGTGAGGCAGAGCGGGCGAGCCTGGCGAGAGAGGGGAGGTGAGCGTGGCTCAGAGCGTGAGGGCCAAGCAACACAGACCCGAGAGCGAGAACTCAGCAGGCCCGAGGCAAGGAGGGAGCCGGGCAGAGCAAGGCTGTTTATTTGAAAGGCTGTGGCAGCCTGAGGGTTGGGTGCGGTGGCAGAGGCAGCCCCCAGAGCACCAGTGGAGCAGAGGGCAGTGCCGCCCTCCTGTCCTCCTGCCTACCTACCCGCAGCCTTGGCGGCTGCTTTCCAGACCCCTGAGAGTGGATGGAACTGGGGGCGGGGGGGGGAAGGGGGGGACGGTGCAGTAGCACCAGGACCAGTGTCCAACAATTCTCAGGACCTGTTCAGTTATAGGATGGAATTCGTGCAGGTCCTACCGAGTCCTCAGCCATCACCCCCCCACACCCCACACCCCCAGGTTGCCTGCCCTCAGCTTGAAGTGGATGCGGAGGTGGGGGGGGGTCAGACCTCAAAAACCTGCACACTGGTCCAGAGTACTAAAGGCTCAAAACACAAAAGGGGGGAAGCTCAGAG